GGATTGAGGCTATCTCCGTCATAGGGAATAAATGTTAAATTGGTTTGACTTCGGTGAAAGTCTAAATTGGTTTGACCGGTGGTCAAAGAGTTAAATGGAAACCCGTAACACCTAAATCGTTTTGAAAAGAAAGAAAATAAGTTGACTCTTGGTCAACCGTCTAAAGAACCGAATGTAAAGTTGAATTGATTTTTATTAAAAGGATAAACATATGCACGATCTTAATTGTTGAATTATTATGTTTATTCTTGTGCTACAATGGAGTATCACTCAGCGTCAATGCTGAGCGGATAGCGTTGTTTTCCTTTTTGCTATCCGTAGGTGATCAGACAGATGAACCTAGAGCCGATCCCAGAAGGCATTGAGGAGGAGATGTATGATGGCGTGGCTGTCTCTTTAATCTGCTCATATGCTTTATTTAATTAACTTTAATGCTTATTACGTTTTCGGGCAAGATCCCAAGTTGTTTGACTTTAAAAAGGCTTCCGCATTATTTTAAATTACTCCGATGAATTTTTATATGTATTGATAGAACGTTTGTTTAAAATTGTTTTGAAAATGTCGCAAATTCGGATACCAATTCAGTGACACACCGGTCCGCTGTCTCACGGGTTTGGGTCATGCGGGTTGGGGTGTTACAAATTAACTTTTCCCACTATAAATATAAGCTTAATTTTTCATATTTCTTGAACAATTGAAGCTCCAAACATCTTATTTTATATTCTAAGTGTGTTCATCTTATTATTCTTCGTTCTTATTATTTTGGCTATTTTAAGAGCCTTATTCTCCTGATTTTTATACACATACTTTGATCTTGTGATTTAGTTATATACTCTCATATCTACACCGGCTATGCTTTGTTCTTCGTATTTGTGATCAAACTGCTATGTAGAACCTAGTTTCATGTTCTTCTAACACACCTTTTTACAGTTGAGAATAGCCGTTAAATTCATTGTTGTAACGGTTAAGGATAGCCTAGAAATCCTAGAGAAAAGGTTCGAGGATAACATTCAAATCCTTGGGGGAAATAGTTGAAGATAGCCGTGAAATCTTCATTGTTAGCGATTCAAGATAGTCGCTGTAAAATCTTGGAGTTGAATCCTATTGGCAAGGGTTATTTGCCAAACTAGTGTGGTGCTTTGACAGAGTCCAAGAGACTAAGGCTTAGTGGATTCAGAAATCCTTAAGGAAGAGCCTTAAGGTAATGGAGTAGAAGTTCCCAAACCAGTCTAAAATTGGTGTGTCATTTATTTAAGCTTTTAATTTCGCATTTTATTTATTGCTTCCGTATTTGCCGACACCAATTCTACTAAACTCCGGAAAGTTTTCAATGCCTTATTCACCCCTTCTAAGGAGTGGGCACATCGATTTCATTACTTTGGTAAGGCTTAAATAGCAATGCAAAATATTTGTGAGGGAATGACAGACTGTACAGTGCGAGAAAAATTATGGTGTGACGGTGTAACAATGAGACCAAGATTCGAAGGAGGGGAAGTCAGAAGTTGGAGGTCTTTCAGAAGTTACCTAAAAGAAAACTGTGAGGATTTAGCTCAAAGTGGACAATGACTGTTCCTATGCAGCGGCGACTCCCTGTAGTTGCACGACGATGGATTTAGCTCAAAGCGGACAATGGATATGAGTGTTTAACATATTTACATGAAAAGTTTTGATGTGATAAAGAAATGAAAGTATTATATCAAAAAACACAAATACTTCGTAATTGATATTTACATATGAATACTTTTGGAGTATTTAGATCTTCTAAATGTTTGTTGGATACTCAACACTCTCTCACTTGGGCGGGTGTGCGTTTAATTTGTTGAGCTCTCTTTTTAGATTAATTTTTCACAAGCTAATTTTGTTCAGGAGATAGTAACAATGTAAGTGTGTAACTTGTTTAGAGTAATCTTTAACTAAGTACAAACTAATAATATTAAAATGTTTTAGTTGGTTCTAAAAAAGCTTTGATGTTATTTCAACTTTATTTAACAATAGTTTTCAAATTTATAAGTACTTTAGTGTTATTATTTTATACAAAAAAATCATTTTTTACAATGCATCTTACATTTTATATAAAATTGAACCGATAAAACAATGGTTTACATATTTTTTCGTTAAATAAAACCAAATCGAATTTTACTCTCCTGTTCAATTTTTTATTTTGAGTAAAAAGCAAACCGAAAAAACCAAATTCAGCTCTACTTTCCTTCACTAAAATTTTAAAAACTCCTCACATGCTCGCAAGAGTAGCTCAGTTGGTTCTGCAAAGGGTAGGGTTGCCCACAAGACATAAGGTCGAGTCTCCGCAAGGTGCAGTGTAGGAGTGACATTCTGATACCTCTTTGGGCTCTAAGAATGGGTTCCTTATGTCTTGGGCGGTAATAATGGGTTCTGAAGAGCATTGGCAATGGCTAGTCTAAAGATTGCCATGCCATGCCACATAGGACTTAAAGTGGGTATTAGGTGGGTATTGCCACGCGTGGGAGGAGCATTCCCCCATGATATGCAAGGCATGTGCAAGGCATAATCTCTCTTTTTTGTTTTTTATTTATTTATTTATATTTCAAAAACATAAAAAATTATACAAGAAAGAATTATTTATTTGAAAAAGTACATCTATTTTTTTGGGAAAAAAAATTGAAAAAAAATTAATAATTAAAATATATAAAAAATGTAAAAATGATAAAAAACAATGACTTGCCACTGCATAACATACTACTCTACTCACTTGCCACACGCTGACTAGATTATTTTTGATTGATTGAAATGTTCTATGTCATCGTGTGACATTCTATTTGCGCCTCCCCATTGCACATGCTCTAACAGGCAGTTGAACCCCGGTGATTGAGTGTGAGGGGCTCTTGGCGTTAGGAATTAACCTTTTTTTGCACAAAAAACTCCTCACACACTGTTAATGGCTTCCCTCCTTACGAGTTACTACCTTGCGTCCGTCTCTCAGCCCTAGTTAGTTAATACGCATATAATACACGGTTATACTTACGTACGTATAATACACGTATTATACTCATGTATCCGTATGCTTTTCAAAACTACTTTAAAATACACGTATATTTGATACTATACGTATAATATGTATGAATGGAATATTTTATAATAAAATATTTTTTATAGATATTAATTTGTTCCAATAGATATTTAAACAAAATACGAGTAATACTCCGTATCAGTTATACATACAATACTCAATCAATTTGAAAAAAATATATACTCCCTCCATCTCATTTTATATTTCCTGTAATGAATTTGGGGAATATTTAAGGAAATGAAAAAATATTGTTGATTTTTCAAAAATGTCCTTACATTTTTAGGAGGGTTGACGATCGATGAATGAGAAGATAATGTGGAAAGGAGTGGCTTATTTTAGGGATAATTTAGGTATTTACCCTTAAAAGTTTACCATAATAAGAAACAAGCAACTTATTTTAGGACGGACAAAAGATAAAAATAGACAATTTAAAATAGAACGGAGGGAGTACTATCTACATTTTATAAAGAATTTATACTCTTTTGTCACGTTCAAAAAAGACTTCACTCTTTCTCTTTTTGTTTGTCTCAAAAATTCATTTTCTTTTTGGAAAAGAATAATAAGTAACTCACAACTCTTATTTGTTTTTTCTAAATATATTCAAATAAACTATAAAGTTTTTATTTTTAACATTTTTTAAACTACGTTCGTGAAAGTTAAATAAAGATATTTTTCAAATGACGGGAGTATATATATTTTTCAAATAGATATGTTAAATAAATAGAGATTCTAATTTGAAAAAATCTATTGTAAATATTTTATTTAAAAGATTTTTGTATTTTGTTTATATGACTATCAATCGATAAATATGTGTAAATTTGACGTATATATGATAATATATATATATAAACATATAATAAGACGTATTTTAAAAATAGAAAACACTTAAAACACGTACGTATCCGTATGGCGAACGTTTAATATGCACAATAAACTGTATTTTATAAAATCCTAATGTATTATACACGAATATAAGTATTTAGGTATTATAGGTTTGCATTATATTACTAACTATGCTCTCAGCCACATAGTCACTCCTATCAGTTGTGAGTCGTCAGCCCGCTCCTCTTTCTCCGAGCGACTCTGCGCGCTGAAACAGGCAGGCGACGCCGCAATTTTGCGACAGCCAATTAGCCACTGAGCAACAGCCGTCTAGGTATTTCTTTTTATTTTATTTAATAAATTGAATTATATGCCTATTTGGTCCAAAAGAATGGCCTTGTAAACCTTGTTTCCGAATCCGCTGATTAGAAAAGAAATCGATTTCAGATGCCTTCTTCGAAGAAGAAAAACTCGAAATCGGCCTCCAGGCTCTCCCAGACAAATGCCAACTCCTCTGCTTCTCCATCTCCGTCGGTGCCTTCATCACCTTACAGTCCACCAGACTTGAACGTGGTCTCAGAACTTGAAGATGATCTCCGAAGCTACCTTGCCGAAGCTTCTAGAAAGTTCCCAAATTTCATATCAACCGAGGCTTTCGCTGGCCGCGTTTCTGAGGACGCTCCCTCTGATAAGGAACTGTATTCTTCCAGAGGCTGTAAAATTTGGCTATCAGAAGCTTCCATGGTCGCTTCTTCAATTGCTACTGGGTCCATAGTTTCGGTAAATGAACCACATTCATCTTTCATCGGGGCAGAGTTTTCTCATTCCCCTCTGTTGTAGCTAGTTTCTTTTATTCCTTACTTTTAAAATTATGGATTTAAAATGGATTTTGCAAATAAGCTTTGAAATGTTATCAATGGTCTAGGTATAGGTTCTGCTATTGATTGCAGAGTACCCTGTATTTTATTTTTTTGAAGGCTTTGCCTTTTGCTTTCTGATCATCACTTATCAATGTAATAAACAGGTGTCCCTTGCTTCTTCCATGGGTTTACTGGGAAGTTTCCCTTTAAGTGATTTGCCAAATGAATGCTCAAGGCACCTTGGGTTTGAACTCATGGAGAAATTGGCTGACGAAGCAGGAAACTATTTTGTTCTTGCAACTGTTTTCCCCTCCTGTAAGGTTTGAACTAAAATCACATGATGTTTTAAATGTTATTTTTATTGCTAAATATTGATGCTTTTGAAACCTTTGAGAAATAAATGTGTGCAGTTGGATCTTGCTAAATTCAAGTGCAGTTTAATATCCTTATTATCCAAATACTCCAAAACCATGACATTAAGGTTTTGGAGTATAGAAATTTTCAGAGTTTTATTTTTAAAATTCATTGAAGCTTACTAAATATATAATCTTTGTGTCTTTTGCAAAGGTTTTCGTTTTAAAACTTAGTTCTCTGAGGTTTTATATGGCTGTATTGTGGTAGCTCAAGGAAAGGATTAATCTTCTTCATCAATCTATTTGTCTCTCCCATGTTTTAAGTATAATTATGAGTAAATTCCATAAAAAGTCCCTAAGTATATGTGGTTTTCCAATTTAGTTCCCAATTCTAAAATATCACATCAATGGTCCTCAAATTTTGAAGAATATTCCATAATCGGTCCTTCAGAGTTCAGGGGCTATATGTGGAAAAAGTATTTTGTCTTATTTGGCTTAAAGGAATATTTATGGAATAGTTTCAAAAATTGATGACCATTTATGTAATTTTTTAGAATTGGAGATTAAATATGAAAAGCCACCTATAATTAGGGGAAAAAAATCACACAAATACTCCCAAAAACTCACAATTTTAAATAAATACTCCCAAATTCATTAATTTACGCCATTACTCTAGAATTGTCTCATATTTATATTGTTACTTCGGCGCTGCTTAGTCATCATGTTTGTTACCTACGTGGCTTTGTTAATGCTAAGTGGACAATAAAGAGTGCCAACTCGTATTTTCCATTTTAAACAACCAAATTAACATGCCTTAGTTGTCTCTCCATCATCTTCTTCGCACATCTTTTTCTCTTTTTAACTTTATAAGGATGCGTTTTCTTCGTCTAAACTTTTTGAATCGAAACTGAATTTTTCAAGGCTGATCTGGTCTGGTCCGTGTGATTAGATCTGAATGAATCTTCTGAATGTACCTGATCCATCTAATTGTATTGTAATTTAAAGTTGTTGATCTGATTTGATTAAATTGTCCACTCAGCATTAAAAGAACAACACACATGATGACTAGACAGTGCCAGAGTAACACTATAAATGTGAAACAATTTTGGGAGTAATGACGTAATTTAATTAATTTGGCAGTATTTATGTAAAATCGTGAATTGTTGGGAGTATTCGTGTGAATTTTTCCAAATTAAAGACCATTTATGGAATTTACTCTGTAATGAGTGAAATAGTAAGGTTGGTTCCCACTTCCTTTTTTTCCAAATATTTACCTTATGATATCCATTCTTGATCATATACAACAACAACAAATCCTAGTATAGTCCCGATTCAGTTGGGATCTAGAGTCAATAGTTACTACCCAAACCTGCATGTAACCTGGCACTGTTCTGTCTGTAGGTTTCAAAGCATGCTGTTCGATTATCTCCAAACCTTTCGTGGTCCATGGGCTGTCCTGTTTCTGGAAGGATTATTTTCGTACATCCTGTTATTGATCAACCATTAAGGAGTATTTTAAATGGAAATGATAACTTACCCAACAATAGAGCTAATCACATTTCATTATGCAGCACCAAGGAGTTATACTTGTCACCTCTATCTTTGAAGGGCACTTTTATGGCAAAGAGAACTTTATCTTCTCAAGGAGAGTCATCTGCTGCAACGCTAAATGGTCGAGGTGAGAATAGAAAAATTTCACCCCCAACAACTCCATTGCCCTCTCATGCAAGACTTAGCTCCCCGGGACCTTATGACTCGTCAAATGCATCAAGTTATCAAGAATCAGTCTCGAATTCATCTGATTCATATGGTGCATCTAGCAATATGACTTTCATCAAGGAAGTTCTAGAGGATGAGACTTCAAGAACACTTGTACAAACATGTATCGGATTGTCATTATATTCTCGAAATTTACTTTGGGGAAATCTTGTGACCGTCCCAGTACTTTCCAGGCTCTGGACATTTCTTATTACAGGTGCCAGAAAATTATCTACACATGAGAATCATTGCTCAAAGGACCAAAGTGATCAGAAACCTTTTCCACATTCCGCAGATTTGGAGGACCATAACAGCATTTCTTTCTTAATTAATCAAGAAACTAGCGTTCATGTACATCTGCCACGAGATATTGAAGACGTTCCTCCAAAAAGAAGAGTTGTTTTGACAAAACATGGGCGTGGGGATGGAGAATTTAATATTGGGTTTGATGATTCTAAATTGGGTGGCCTTACAAAAAAAATTACCGAACTGAACGACATTATAATATCATCAGCAGTGAAAGGCACTCTTGCTAGGTATTCTTGCTTAATAAATACATTGCAAGCATGTACTATGAAATATAATGTATCTTTGCTAGCTGTTAGACTGCTGTGGTATGATCTTATATGCTTTACAGATTGATTGTTTGTGGTCATTGATGAATTCTGTTATTATTTGTCACAACCTGATGGTGAAATGAAAATCACTTCCAATTTTTTTTCCTTAGGATGAATTTTGGCATCAGGGTTTATTTTTTCTGTATCTCTGACCTGCTATAATGTAGTTGGTTTGAGGGGTATATGTATTTGACCTTTTGGATGTGTACCTTTTGTTTCATAGAAATGTTGAGATAATAAATATTATGGAAGCTGGAGCAGTGGTTATAATGCAAGCTAAATATGATACAATATAGAATAACTGTTCTGATGATTGTTTCAGCATGGGTTTACGACCTGCAAAAGGAGTGCTTCTTCATGGACCACCTGGAACGGGAAAGACTTGTTTGGCTCAGTTTTGTGCTCATTCCACTGGTGTGAACTTTTTCTCCGTGAAAGGGCCTGAAATTATAAGTCAGTATCATGGAGAGAGCGAACGAGCATTGCATGAAATTTTTAATTCAGCTGGACAGGCTTCACCCGCTGTGGTTAGTCATTTTTCTGTATTTCCTAATGCAGAATTGAAGATATCTCTTTCCAATTCTTATTGATATTTTCATAATCTTTGCCTCAAAATATAAAATGAGAAGAAGTTGTAGTTTTCTTTCTGTTTTTCTTTTGAGACCACCGTTTTTGTGAGTGGCGGCTGGAATTGTCATTTGCCACACCAAGTAGCTTCCATTAAAAGATTCTTAACTTGCAGTTGTTTTAAACCACCCACATTACACTTAAACCTAGTCGACAGCCGAATGACCGATGTGGGATATTCACTCCCCTCCCCATCCCAAGCCGCGCTGAACAACAAAAGATTGGACAAATGGGTTTAACCAGACTCTCAAACAGTGTCCCAAACCATAGAGTGGGCAGTACACTAATTTAAAAACAATAATTATGCTCTGTTAAAGTTACTTTAGTTACAACAACTTTAATAAAGAATATCAATGATATATCTAATTTAATATCCACTAAAGGTGTAGAATGATACGCCATAAATAATACCCTGTACTCCTTAAGTATAACCCAATCTCATTAAAAGGTTTCACATTTGACCCGACATAGTTATTAACAAAGTTGAAATTGTGTGGGTGACATGGTTTTAAAAGGCGACTGAAGCGGTCCACCTCGAGGCGGTAAGGCGGTTGCATTTCGCCTCTGAGGCTCAAGCCTCAGTAGGGATGCGTGAGGCGTACGCCTCAGAATGTTGAGGCGGTAAGGCGTAACCAAGGAGTAAGCCTCACTTTTAATAAGAATTTCAACAATTCTAAGGGTTATTTTTAAAAAGCTATTGGGCCTCTTTTACAAAAACTCTTTTGGGCCAATGCACTATATAGTTTCTTAAGAAAAACTTAATAAACCTAGTAGATAATTAACACTTCTTTCCAAGACTTTAGCGTCAACTTTCGTCTCTCCATCTTTAGCCGTACTTCCCTCCATCTTCAGACTTCAGTGGCACAACTTCACTCTTGTGGTAGCCGCTAAGGCAATTGCTTCATATTTAATAGCTTATCTTCTATTTCTTTCATCTTCTTCTTTCAACTTTTAATTTTTTTATTTCCTTCTTTTCCAACATCCCTCTCCCTCTTTTAGATTCAGTTCAAACTTCAAAGAATGATGTAACTTTTTTTTTGCATGAACTTTTGTCCATATTTAATATTTATAAGGTTTGAAGATGGGGTTGAGACATTTGTGTTTTATGTTACCGTGTTTAATTTTTATAATTTTATTTTTTGTGTTTTAAGAATTAAGATAGAGTAACATTTTTTGTAAAATTCAGGAATTACGATTTTATCATTTATTTCACATGAAAATGGATTATGCATTTCGTTTTACCTCGGTGTACATATTTTAGTATTATTTTTTTCATATTGATTGGGCTTGCGCCTCATTCCGCCTCGAGGCTTACGACTCAAGGCTTTTTGCTCCACCACCTCGAGGCTAGTTTTCGCCTTTCAAAACCTTGGTGGGTGAGATTCATGTAGAGAAGAAAAAATAATAGGGACCACAATTCTTTTCTTGAAACGAAAGTAGAAAATTATTTTGTGGGAGAGGAGTATATTTCAACAAGGTTTGCTTTCTGATGCGTTCCTCGAATGCTTTCAATCTGCCCACCGCTTCTTGAAACGGAATTGTGTTAATGTCAGCAAACTGTTCAATTGCAGCAACGATTTGTATGAACTTTTCAGGCACAGAACCCAAAAGCTTTCGAACCAAACTTTTGTCTTCAAATGCAGACCCAAGGTTGTTTGCTTGTGTTGCAAGTTGACTAATTTTACCAGCAAAATCATCAAGTGACTCATTGTTCTTCATCTTTAGAGTCTCAAAATCTGATTCAAGTGTCTGTAATCGCGCTGCTTTAACCCTGTCAACACCAACAAAGCGAGTCTTCAAAGCATCCCAAATTTCTTTTGCTTTCGTAAACTGAGCAACTTGTAGTACGATCTCTTCTGGCAAAGCTTGAAACAGATATGCTATTGCCATATTGTTCTTCTTTGGATCGATTTCTGTTCCTGAAAAGATAGTGAACTATTTTCCCTTGTAGTCACAATCTGTCTGTTGTCTTCCATTGCACGACTTTAATTCCTTTGACAATTTTTACAAAATTCTTAACTTCGATTCCTTCCTGGGTTGTAAGCCACCTGCAATCAACCACCAACCAGAAAACAAGCCCCTGCTTTTCTGTCTTCCAAGCCACTAAACGAAAGCTACCCCGCTGATTCGTTTTTCACGCACTGTTTGGTTGGCTTCTGCCAAAGGAAAAAACTAGCCACTTGCTATTCTTGTCCTAGGCGAGGAAGAATCTTGTCGAAGATTTTGATCTGTTGTCAAGGCAGATCTCCCTTTTCTTGCCGCTGATCGCACACGCTCCGATACCAATTGTAGGAAAATAATAGGAAGAACAAATCAAATGCAGAATAGAGTTCTGATTTTTTTATTGTAAACTACATACAGGAATTCTATGTTCCTGGAGTATTTATAGACAGCAACCAACACAACTATTGGTACTAATCAACACATCTATTACTAACTAATACAACTTCTAGAAATAACTACCTATAACTTCCAGAAATAACTACCCAAAAACTGTCCCTTTTATTTTTAAAATTCAAATCTAAACTAACTAACTTATGGCTAGGAATTAAACAATACGATTAAATCTAACATGCCTCACCTTTTATTTTTTCTTAAACCGAGAAGACAAGCAATGTGGGATGCTCAACACCCTTTTTAGGATAGGGTGGTTGGAATTTGTAACCAAGATGCTATATCATCAAAAGATTATTGGCTAGCAAAATAGTTCAGTTCCCTGGCTGTGATTGGGACCAATTTTAAGTACAATCCCATTACTTCTAGCTGATAATGAAATGATATTTGCAGATTTTCATTGATGAGGTGGATGCGATAGCACCTACGCGTGCAGATGGAAGTGACGAGCTTTCTCAAAGAATGGTAGCAACCTTGTTGAACTTGATGGATGGAATAAGCAGAACTGACGGGGTGCTTGCCATTGCAGCAACCAACAGGCCAGACAGTATTGAGCCTGCACTTAGACGGCCTGGAAGATTTGACCGAGAAATTGAAATAGGTTATTTACAATGCCTGTCCATTTCACTTTGTGTATGTTCGGAACCTCAAAAATTCTAGGGGAAAAAAATATAGTGTGGTTTGAAAGGATAAGATGTGAGGGAAATTTAAAAGAATGTTCAACCTCAGTAAATTTATATTATATAAACACTGAGAAGTCTAAAAATATGTAGAAAGAATTAGAACACTAATCATATTTCATTTACCTTTACGTTTTCCTTGGCAAGACCAAACACAAAACTCTTACCAATTTTTCCTTTCTATTGCATCTTCTGTGATCCAAACAAACCCATCCCTCATATTCGCATTTACTCATCTGTCCTGGCTGTTTACAATGCTTTGTGCATGACTAATTAATGTATTTTACAGGAGTACCATCTCCAAGACAACGTTACGAGATATTAATGGTTTTACTTGGGGAGATGGAGCACTCGCTTTTGGACAAGGATATTCAACGTCTTGCAACGGCCACTCATGGTTTTGTTGGCGCTGATCTAGCAGCTCTGTGCAATGAAGCAGCCCTTATTTGTCTCAGGAGGCATGTTAACTTGAAAATGTCATATGGCAATTCAAATATCAAGACATCAATTCATCAACATAATGGTTTCTCTTGTAGACATATAAATGTTCCCCTTTGCTTAGAAAAAAGTAAAGTCCAGACTATCAACGGTGCTATAATGGAGGGCTCATCCTTAATAACAGAACCATGCATTTCACAAGATATTCAAAATCTAACAGTGACAGTTGATGACTTTGAAAGTGCTAGATTTAAAGTAAGGCCAAGTGCCATGAGAGAGGTATGTTTCTCTCCGTTGTTTTGGGGATTTAAGCATATACTCGTATTTTTAATGCATGAACACACATTGGTACATAACTAGAGCTAGAGGTTTGCAGAGATTGTTGGATTAAATAGTTTACTATGAAGTGAGCTTTTTTTACCCTTGAATGCAAATGCAAAGTCGATATTCCTGTTCTGCAGTCTGCATGAATTTATTGTAACATGGCCGCTCTTGCTACCAGGTTATAATAGAGGTTCCTAAGGTTAAGTGGGAAGACGTTGGTGGACAGAGGGAGGTTAAGATGCAACTGATGGAAGCTGTAGAGTGGCCCCAAAAACACCAGGAAGCATTTAAACGGATTGGGACCCGCCCCCCAACTGGGGTTATGTTGTTTGGCCCCCCTGGATGTAGCAAAACACTCTTGGCTCGTGCTGTTGCTTCTGAAGCTGGACTAAATTTTCTTGCTGTGAAGGGACCCGAGCTTTTCAGCAAATGGGTTGGTGAGTCAGAAAAGGCTGTTAGAGCTCTGTTTGCTAAAGCAAGGGCGAACGCCCCCTCTATCATATTTTTTGATGAAATTGATGGTCTGGCTGTTGTCCGTGGGAAAGAGACTGATGGGGTTTCGGTTGCGGATCGAGTGATGAGCCAACTTCTTGTTGAAATGGATGGTAAGCAAAATTATTTCAAGTTTTTTTTCCTTCTTTCATCAGTATAAACTTTGATGGAAAAGTATCCTATAGGCTTGTCACCTCTTGTTTTGTAGAACTTTTAGTGTAGTCCTTAAATATATAAATTTTATTTTTTTAATTTGACACCTAAAATCGAATAAAATGAATTGAAAAAATAAAGTTGGTCAAACCTTGTAAACAGAAACGGGAAGAACGTTTTAGGACGGAGGGAGTTTGTATTTTAATATTTTAATATATTTTTGTAGTGCAAAATGCAAGAGCTAGTACGAATTTAAATATTTTAAAAATAACGCTCATAACTCGTTGGGTCGACCCTAACCCGATGACACTGGGTCCAACATGTAGTTCTCATCCCGAACTTATTCAAACCAGAAGTGATCAAACCAAACCCAACCTAACCGACCAATTTGTTAGCTTTGTAAATGATTTTTTTATATTTTATTGTTTAAAAAATAGATAATTCAGCCACAAATGCACCAACTTAAAAGCATTGGCATATGTGCTCAAAATAGGTAAATGAAAATTGTATTTTGTTGAAATGAGAATTCAGAAAAAATGTTTTCTGAACCAGGTTTGCACCAGAGAGTTAATGTTACTGTCATTGCTGCTACAAATCGACCAGACAAGATAGATCCTGCCCTTCTAAGACCAGGTGGTTACATAATCTTCTTGCATCGTAGTCTGTCCTACGTATTCTCCTTGTATTGTTGTCGTTTTGCCAGAACCGACAACTTCCTTTTTGAAACTGGCATACTGGAATAATAACTAGAAAGCTACACATCAATTTGCTAGGCCGTTTTGATCGGCTCCTATACGTGGGTCCACCGGATGAAAATGACCGTGAGGATATATTCAACATTCATTTGCGCAAGACTCCATGTGGTTCTGATGTGTGCGTCAAAGAGCTTGCTCTTCTAACCAAAGGGTGTACAGGTGCCGATATATCCCTTATCTGCCGTGAAGCAGCCATGGCAGCCATTGAAGTAATTATGCTGCTGGACACAAATTTCATTATTGTGTACAAATGTATGTATTTGGAGAAGCTGATTATAGTGACAACCTTGTCTTTTCCTTGATTTCAGGAGAACCTAGGGGCCTCAGAATTAACAATGGAGCACTTGAAGACTGGCATTCGTAGTGTGCAGCCATCAGAAGTTCTATCGTACACGGAGTTATCAACTAAGTTTCAGAGACTCGTTCTCTCATCTACTCATTGAGATGATTTGACTTCCCCAACATGCTGAAATATATGAAGGCAAATACAAATTTGGTAAACAAAATCTATCCCTTTTCAAGTGTTTTAAGGTCCATTTCGAACTCAAAAAATGCCATGTAAAAAAAATATGGATGAGAGGGAGATCTCAAAATAAAGAAAGTGCAGGGAAATAAAATATAGGATTAAACTCAATTAATTTGTATTTGATGTATGTGCAATTAAATTTTACTTATTTATTTATTAAACACTAATTTTCTCTGTTTTCCAAAGTCAGTTGGATTTAATTGTTGAGCTCCCCTTTTGTTGTACTAGTGGCATTCAAACAATAAGCAGGGCTTTCCTAACCCATCTATCTTTGAGCTGCTAGGCACTGGATTCTCTTCCCCTTTGACATATCTCAACTACACAAGGTGTGTACTTATTCGGAGAAGATCTAAAATTAATGTTCTTATGGGTGAGCTGGAAAGACTGATTTTTGGATTGCACGAACTTGTGATTCATCCTTCAACCATTCATTGTGATCAACTAGTTCGGGTCCCCTCACAGCAGGACATTTTGACGAGTTTTGGGCTAATTATGAGATTGCTTATAATTTAGTCATCAATGCCGCCAATGCTAATTATGGAGATTCTGGTCAGTGGGTCGTAGGAGTTCATGCCACCTTCTATGGAGGACGTGGTGATCCCGATGACATCGGTAATTAATTTATCTTCTTTTATAATTAATACGGAGTAATTACATATAACTAGGGTAGGTGAAATGAAATTGTGAATTTGTAGTCATATACAATAGGTAAAGGATAAGAATGTTCACTCTCTTAAGATCGGTGTGAAATGTGGACCTCACACTTTTCATGACATGTGAATCTTTTATCTTTTCAAAGAGCCTAATTCATCCATGATATTTATATACTAAGATCGATAAAATAAATGTGGACTTTAAGACCACAAAAGAATTTGTCTAAGAATATGATTTTCCATACTAAGTCCTATATAATCAAATATTACGTCTATGGTCCTTTTATAGGTACCTTTCCTTGAATGGTCCATTTTTTTACTTTGTGTCATGTTGGTGTTAAATTGAAGGCTAATAGTATAATTTCACATTGACCCTATGTCTAGTGACGTATTCTGATGTCGGTTTGATAGACAAAACACCAATAGTGATTATGACTGTGGACTAGGCTTCTTACCAGAGCCATACTAGTAAAAAGCAGTTCTAGTTGACAAACGACACATCAAAAGCGATATCTGACATTGGTTATGACATGAAATGCATATATGATCATTGTGAAATTATACATTTAGTTCTCAATTTACTCCCTCCGGTCCTAAAAACCTTTCTTGTTTTGACTTTTTTAGTGGCACTTTTTTACCACAAATTGTAAAAAAAGTATATTTAATTTTAATATAAATTCAATATAATTGGGTTAATCTTAGGATATAATTTTAATATATCAAATTATTATATCATTTACTTATTTAAATTATATTTAATTTATGGTCAAAAAGTGTCATTCTTTGACAAAAAAAGTCAAAACAAGAAAAGTTTCTAGGACTGGAGGAAATACTATTTATGGAAAAGGTACTCCTAAAAGAAAGACCACGGACGTAATATTTAATAATATATGACTAAAGAAGGAAAATCCTCTGTTGTGAAGGACCGGTTATATAATTTACTCGTAATAAAATATGCACAACATGATTTATCCTGGTTTTGTTGTATTCCCAGCACTTACCTCAACATCTTCCTCATATTAAATCTCGCGTCACAGGTAATTTAAGGCTTAGATTGGCTAATATGCAAGCTCTGAATTCCGCTCTCCATTATCCAAGCTTCATGTTCACCTCTTTCCTAGTCCAAAACAAATACTACCGTAGCAGACATAAATATAGTTTTACAAAACATTGAAAAAGTCACATAAATATATCCTCGGGTATTTTTTACCTTATTTTTTTGCTTCATTTCATGCATCTTTTCTGTTTTCGTGAGTCTTATTTTATCTGGCATTTTCTCAAAGCATTATGTGGGTTATTATTTCATGACTTTCGTTGTTTTCTGAGTCTTCGTGTCTAGTCGAGTCAAAATACAACAAAGTCATATCTCACTAAGTGGGGTCGGCTATATGATTCATGTATCATATCTGATACATACATCATTTACGCGAAGATCTCTCTTGATCACTTGACAAGCTTTATCCAATTCGTTTTGTTCTTGTTTTCTTTTTGGGACATACATACATTTATGCAACTCTCTGATAATAGACAATTATTTTCCACAGCCAGCCTTCAACTTAGAGAATCGATGTGGTATCATACTATCATTAATCACAAACCCAAAACACATTAGAAGGTCAAAATGTAATATTCTCTCCCTCCCAATTTACTTTTACTGTTTTTTTTGTTCCAAAATAAATACTCCGTACTCCGCAAACAATTTTTTATTCGGTTTGTTGGAAAGTAGAGGTCCATTTCCATTGTTGACAAGGAGAATGTGACCTTATTTTTCATTTTCAAACTAATTTAAATCACATATTTTTTGTGTTATAGTAGTACTCTTTAAAAGCTCTCTCCGACCATTACATATTGTTAATTTGAAATAACCACAATTTTCACCTTTTTGACTCATCTAAAGCTCAGTGAGGGGTCAAAAGCAAGCAAATCTAATGGAAGGAGAAAGTGTTAGTTTCGTTGAAGCCCTTCAGATTAAGAGAAGCAAATCGATTGGAGTAGGTCGACCTTTCCCGCAAATTCGTTCCAAAACAACGCATGTTAAACCGAGCGATTTTGGAAAAAACCAAAGTTAAAATTTGGTGTGTGAAGTGTGAACATTCAGCGTTAATTTACTTTGGTATATTAACTTTAAATCATTTATTTCTTTTACCAAAAGCTCAGGTTTTCATGTGACTTGGGTCCGAAGCCCCAAATTATAATTTTATAAATTTAAATTTTATTACTTGATCCTATTTTTGGTTCTTTCAACTTCTCCCTCGGCCAGCATGTATAATGCAACTACACCTGGAGCAACAGAGTCGAGGTGGCCAGCCGGGAGGACGACTTCCATACCCCATAGCGTAATGTGTTATATTTGGCCCCTTGAAATTTCAATACATGGACTGTGTTCTACGGAATAATTATTCCTGAGACAAAATAATTATATGTGAGTGCTAAAAAAAAGAAAAAGAAGAGAGAAATGATATTGGCACTCCAAATATTGAGATGAATAACAAGTAAGTGCATGAGCAATGGTGAGGCAAAATTGGAATGTCACATTCTGACGTGAAACATTTCAACCAATAAAAATTAGTCCGGTCAGCGTGTGGCAACTGAGTGGAGTTGTATGCCCTGCAATGGCAAGTCACTATTTTTATTACTTTTTTCATTTTCTTTCTAAATTTGATTTATTAAAAAATATATGCCTATTTATTTTAATATAAAAACATTTCTATTTACTGGAAAAATTACATCATTAAAATGTATTATAATTAATAAAAATTATTTTTTGTATATGCTCCATATTTTTATTCATCCCTCCGTCTCAAACTAGATTATATTTTAGAATTATGATGCAAAACTCCTTGTTTTTTAAAATCGTTTTATTTAAAATTGGTAAAAGAATAGAAATAAAACTTACAAATTAAAAACAACATAAAAAAAATAGTTCCACTACATCTAAAAAAACTCTTTCTAAAAAATATAATAATTATACTTTAAAAAGATTTGTATTACGCCACAAAAAAAAAAGAAAGCCAAGGAAATGGATTGGAGTACATTGTAGACAACTAAAGTGCCTCGCACCTCACTTGGAAACCGTGGAGGAACGGTATGCACACGCGAGGCAAAGAAGAGTTTTTTCCGAGCTGGCAAGCGTGTCATCTCATTCACACGCTGTTGCCTTTACTCTAAAATATGAGTAGCTAGAATTTATTTAAATGTGAGATTTATTGTAGAGACTCGGCTATCTCACAATTTTTTTGGCGCTTCTCTTTTTTATCTACCCTTAATTACTTTTTCACTTTTTCTTTCTCAAAAATTTGTCCGCCTTTGACCTAAGAGTCCTTGAAAACAACTTACAAGTATCTATATATACTTTGAAATAAGGATAAAGTCTGACTACGCACCATCTTCAAACGCTATTTTCATGAGATTTTATTAAAAAATTTGCTGTTCTTTCTTTTTAAAATCAAAGGCTTATGTTTTTCCTTTTATACAAATATTACCATTCACTTTACTATTCAATACCAAGTATTTTGTTAAAATCTTTTCACTACTTTTTTATCGACATGAAGCTAAAGAGCCCAAATTAATTTGAAAAAAAAAGTGAAAAAAGTATTTAGGACGGATTTAGAAAAATGAAAAGCTATTTATGAAACAAAGAGATTTTTTTGCATAAAATTAGTATACATTAAATAAATAAACATTGAGAAAAATCTAACATTTCCATGAGCATTTGAGCAGTGTAAACATTAGGACATTTGCAGAAGAAAATGAAAGAAAGGAAGGAGTAGAGTGTAGATAGTAAAACTTGGAGTGCTACATTACATTAGGGGTGAATAAGTATTGAAACAATCTCAAAATTTCACGAAAAACCCATGACTACAGACCTGGAAATACCAAACCGATAAAAAATATTATTTATTTGTGAAATATAAACTCGGCTAGGTTCTATGGCCACTTTCTTCAAATGATCATGGAGAAAATTGTCCCAATCGAGACACCTACGATAATCTGTTTGTAAAATTCATTGTTTTTAATCCTCCTACCCCTTTGATACGGATGCTAGATTAGTTATATTATTTATTAACTAGTAGTCGTTTAATATTCAATAGTTAATCTTGTTTAGGGTTTAGTATGGGCCCGAGCCCATTAGGTTAATTAGGGTGTTCCCCCCAGGGCCGTCTCCGAGAAATTAAAGGCCCTGTACGACACATAGAAAATTGGTCATTGTGTCATAATATAATAAAACCTATCAATTACTTTATTTAAAAATAATTAAATTATACTAATAAGAATAATAAAATATCAAATTCATGGTGTAATCAATTTATAATTGCATACCTTAATGGCTATCCGAGGATTCTTGAAGTTCTCCTAGCACTCTTAAGAGCAAATTGGTTGATCAACTCTCCATAATCTATACTCTCAAGGATTTCATTCTCAATTGCTATTATCGCCAATCCGCTAAGCCTTTCTTGGGACATTGTTGATCTTAAGTAAGATTTCAATAGTTTCAATTTGGAAAAACTCCTTTCTGCAGATGCCACTGTTATTGGAATAGTCAACAATATTCTATATGCAATGCTTGCATTTGGAAAATGATCAACTTTCAAATGCTTCAAAACATCAATAGGATTGCTAAATTCACTGGTTTCTAATGTGCAAAATAACTTCAACTCTGCATAAAGTTCTTCAGCATCAATATCCGATCTTTCACCATACTGTGCATTTTCCAGAGTAAAACAAGACAACTTATGATCTTTGTCTTCAATCCCCCACAACTTATGCGGAAATAGAAAACCAAATAACTTCTCAAACTCTTTGAATTGTTCAAATCTCGTCTCTCGAGAAGTAATACTTCTACCTCTTCATCATTCTCTTCAACAACGGGTTTATACAAGAACTTATCCATAGCACTCATTTGAGACTTTCTCATTTCTTCATCACTTTTTCTTTTTTTACGCTTTTGACTCCCAGAAAGGTGTTTAGGAGGCATAATGACCGAATTAGAGTTGAACCTTCAAAGTCCAAAGCTTCAAATAACCAAATCAACACAAAAATTTAAAATTAGTGAACTTAAACCTGATAAATTGTAACTATAATTTAATTATATTTATACTGAAAATCATAAATCAACTTGAACTCAAATAATCTAGTTTATGAAATTTTAGAACTGAAAATTATTTATTTACAGTAATTAAAAGTAATAACTAATTACTTTAAAAATTTAACATTATTTCATTTACTCTGATTGCTCTAAAATTCTTAGAGTAGACTAAAATTTTAAAAACAATACTCTAAAATCATGATTCATGAACATTATGAAATTGATAAAATCAACTACCAATGACCTATTTGGAGTAATTACTAATTTCTAAAAAAGAAATAGAGAAAAAAACCCGATTTAAGTGAGATTGGGTGATTGACCTTCTAATCTTTATTGATTTTGGGTGTATCGCTACCCCCTAGAAGTTGTTGTGGTGGCTTCGTTTTGTCGAGGTCGGAACTGCGTCTGTCCGTCCAGAGAGTGAGAAGCTATCCGGCATCGGCGATTGACCAGGAGCTAATTGAGTAATTGGCAATTGCGATTGAGATTGTGTGGCAACGATGGACTGGCTATTGCTTGTAAATTGGGTAGTAATTCCTTCGGTACCTAGATAGGCCACTAGGCTCAATGCCCTTTACTTTTTTGTGTTTTAAATTTTTTATATTAATAAACAAATGTGTACATACATACATACATACATACATACATACATATATATATATATATATAGTAGTTGGGCCCCCTAAAAATATGGGCCCTGTCCCAATGGCCAGGCTGCCCCTGCCTCCAGCCGGCCCTAGTTCCCCCACCCCCTCGTCTCTATATATTGTAATCAATTCTTTTTACTATAATCAATGAATAATCAAGAATTCTCTTAATCTCTCGTCTCTCTTTTCTTGGAGCACGGAAACGCTCGAAGTTTTCCTTCTCCCTTTGCCTCCCATTTCTTGGAGCCCGAAGACGCTCGAAGTTCTTCCATATCCGATACGATATTTGTATCAATTCGTGCTTTCATTGATTTGAACACCAAAAAAACGAAAGATATAGTCGCCCTTCGGAGCAACACCGATCGATAGTTGCCGAGCCGCCTCAGATAGCCGCACAAAAGATTGCCGCCGATTTTTCCACAACCCATCCAATTTTTCTAATCTCCATTGGCTTAGATCGGCTTCACATGATTGCAGAAGCCGACGCACTGCGCCGCCACAACAGCTGGACTTGATTTAAGTAATCAAAAGGTTTAGCCTCCCACAATTTAAGGGAATTGAGTTTTTTTCTCCAGATCAGGGCCGCCCCTCAATTAGAGAGGGCAATTAGAGACATCCACTATAATTTGTTTGTGGCAATCGTTGAATCGATTTGCACCACATTCCAAGCAAAAAAAAATGCAACAGGATTTTTCATTTCGAATGGAGGCCCGATTCAAGCGGTTAGAGATTTTGATTGTGTGTACTCGTGCATTGGACAAACTTATTGATCTACTGGAGAATGTTCTTTATGGCTAAATTGAGCACGACGAAGGAGTGTGCATACTTTACGATCAAATAGATAAACTTATAAAGAATCTTCAGTCCTTCCGTCCTGTTGGAGGTAAACCAAATTATGATTCTGACGTTTATGCATTCGCCATAGAAATATCTTGTTCCATACAAGATTTGGTTCGTGGCCTCCCAACTTTGTCGTGCTTGATTCCTTCGGAGTTACAAAATTTTAGAACAAACATGATGAAGGCCATGGAGAACCTCATCAGTGCCCCACTTTCTCCACCCAATCTGACTCTTATGGTCATCGTACAAAACACTGAGTCTCATGAAAAAGAATCAAAGGATGACTTAAGTGTAGAATCACATGTTGGGGATGATGTGAAGAGTGCGCCTAAAACTATAAATGAAGCTGACGGGAGGTCTAACGTTGTGGGAAAACAAAAATATGGTATTTCTGAAGATATTGTTAAGGAGGACACCCTTGATCTTATGTCACGTGAATCTTATTCGCTGGTCAATGCCTCAACTTGTGTGGTCATTGCAGAGTTTGCCCTTCTAGAAGATGTCGAAAAGGTGGTGGATGATAATTATATCCACACTGATAACTCAATTTTGTTGGACACCATTAGGTTGTTTGACATTGTCGATGTGGTCAAGACGAAGCACCTGAGTTCACTGAAAGTCACTACATATGTTATGTGCTCTAACTTTGCTTCAATATTTCCCTAACTTTGCTTCAATAGCCAAGATGGTTGGCGATTCAAAGAGTGGACTACTCTTTTGGTTCAGCACGTTCTCACATGTCCAAAAGCATGAGCGGGATCCTCCACCTTGAGGAAAAGGTGATTTTTAAGGGGGTGAGAATGATACAGATGCTAGATTAGTTATATTATTTATTAATTAGTAGTCATTTAATATTCAATAGTTAATCTTGTTTAGGGTTAAGTATGGGCCCGAGCCCATTAGGTTAATTAGGGTGTTCCCCCACCCCCTCGTCTCTATATATTGTAATCAATCCTTTTTACTATAATCAATGAATAATCAAGAATTCTCTTAATCTCTCGTCTCTCTTTTCTTGGAGCCCGGAAACGCTCGAAGTTTTCCTTTTCCCTTTGCCTCCCATTTCTTGGATCCCGTAGACGCTCGAAGTTCTTCCATATCCGATACGATATTCGTATCACCCTTCCTTGACAAACCCCTCCCCCACCCCACTCTATCCCGATCCCAACCCACCCCCCACGCACGCCAATTGCACCTCACAAATTTAGTTGATGATATTAAAGTAAAAAAGTTTTGACACAAAGTCAACTAAACATGTGGGTTGCAATTGACGTTAGGGGGGGATGAGTTGGGGTCGGGTCCATGTGGGGGGGAGTTACTAGGGGGCTAGGGGGTACGAAATATCAATTTTACGAATGAAGTACCGTATATCCGTATGTATCCTATTTAGACAGTGTCCTCCGTGGCCATCCAAAGAGAGTGGATATAGAATTGACCTGATATTAACTAAGGCTACATTCCGTTTACCTTATCTGATCTGGTTTAATCTGATATGAATTTGATTAAAATTAAAAGTAAAATTTTATTATAATAGTTATAAAAATAATAATACAAATATTAATAAGAATAGTAATAATAAAAAATTATAATAATACTAATAGTAATAACAATAACAACAATAGTAATAATAATAATAACTATAATAATAATAATACTAATAATAATAGTAATAATAATAGAAATAATAATGATAGAAATATTGATAAAAGAGAAATAACAATAATAATAATTTTAATAATAATAGTAATAATAATAATTATAACTATAATAATAATTCTAATAATAATAGTAGTAATAATAATAGAAATAATAATAATAATAATAAAAATATGAATAATAATTCAATAGTAATAGTAATAATAATAATATTGATTTTGTTTAGGTCTGGTCTCATTCTGATTTGATTGGATCTGATCTGATTGGATCTGATTTTAATAAAAATAAGTAGTAAGGAGAAAAAATAAGATAGGAATAGTTCAAGGACATTGAGAATAAACTCTTCTCTAACTGAGGTTCCTACATTGATATTGACTTCCATCCTGTGGGAAGGATTAGGATTGTCTTGAATAAAAGGTACTATGAAATTAGTATTCAACAAGGTTTTGGACAAGGTGTGCGCCGTGAAGTAAGAAACTTGGGGGAAGCTGGCACTTTCTACATTAAATTACTTATGTCTATGGGCTTAATGATAGTGATAATAGGAAAAAGCTGTGGGAGTTTTTTTGAAAAAGATTGCTGATAATATGTAGGAGGCTTCGTGTGTTCTTGGTGACTTCAATTCTATTATGGACACAAATGATAGAATTGGAGGTATATCGGTCAAAAAGGAAGAAACTGTTGATTTTAATGAGTGTATCAATTGTTGTGGGTTGGGAATTCCCTAACAGAGTGAGTGGAAATTTGGGACCAAAACAAGAATAATTGAGGAGGGCATCTCTGACCACTCTCCCCTATTTCATAGGCTCAATAGAGTTTTGAGGTATTGTGATAGAAAAATTTGCACTAAATAAGACTAAAACATAAGTCATTTTCCAATGTAAAACTAATTTTTTTTATTATCTAAATAATACTTAATAATTGTCTAGTAGAAGAAATAATGTCCAGTGACGATGGATATTTACTTGAATAATAACTAATGAATAATGACCAATGGCCCTATATTGGAAAATAAAAATATATGGTCCTACATTGAGAAAGTCATTATGTTTTAGTCATATTTAGGTAAATTCCCTATTGTGATATGTGGAGCATAGTTTCTGCATTTAATTCAAAGTTTATAGAGTTTGAAAAGCCTTTGTCTAAGTAACATAAGAATGGATCTCAGAGAGAATCCACACCCAAAATGAATTGAGATATTGGGAATATGAATTCATTTCAGGTAGTATGAATTCTTATGATACTTTAACTAGTTGGACTATTAAATAAACGAATTAAATTTGCTAGTGAGAAGTTTTGTCACTATTACTCCATTAATTTAACCTATCTCTAGGCATTACTAATGTGCTAGCATTTGTTGGTTAATTTATTTTTCACATTCATAGATAAATAGACATAATAATTTTCCAAAGATTAATTAACAAATTGGTTAGATGAATTAGTTAGAACATCACTATAATTACTAGCAATTTAGCAGTTTAAGTAATTAAATTTAATATTGCAATATAATTATTTTTCCTACATACCTACTACCCTAATTCATTTCACATCTTTAAAATATTTAAGTAGATATGATAATAATAATAGTAAGTACACATTTTAAATAATAGAATATTTTTATTAAAATATTACCGAAAACTTAAGACTTCTAGAAAAGCGGAATTTGAACACATTTGGACTAAAAACTCCAAAATAAAACTAAACTAATTTTTTTTCCCGCCCCTTGGGTTGTTGAGATAAAACTAAACAAATAAAACTTTTTTGTTCACTGTTACAAAAACCATATTTTTATACATTGATTTTGGGTTGGATTTTCCAATTTTTAAGGTAAGTATTATCTAAAAATCTATCAATCAGAAAACTAGAATTGATGACTGTTTCATGTAATTTTTTCTCCAAGTATAAAGATAATAATCTTCTAAAAACATTTTTAATCATAACTTTATCCTCCTCACACTTAGACCGGACCGCGTCCTCGCAGCTTAAAAGTGTTTGGAAACTATAGTTGTGGTTGAAAAGTTGACATGCAAAAACAAAGTTGTCGTAATAATTAAAGATAAATAATTAAAGATAAATAATAAGCCTAGATAAAATTAGGGAAAAAGGTGTAATGCACAAAAGCCTTCGTTCCCAAATGGTGTTACAAAAAGTTGTTCATGAAAAAGTCTGTTCCAAATAAAAGCTCAGAATTCATAGCAAATCTTAAATCAAACAAAACATAAGTGAATAGTCATAAAATAATCAGCATAGGTCACTGCTGGTCACTAGTGCATCGGCGGCAACGGGGAGATGAGATGGAAACTCCAAATTAAGCTTGTAGTACATATATATTCACGTGTATGGCTGTGAGAGTGCCAATCTATTCTGCAACGTTGTGATTGTACAGCGCTCGAAATCTCGTGAAATCATCTTGAATTTGAATGGAGCTCACTGTACTATCTGCTCTATATGGTGCAATCTTCTATCGCTATCCTGGAGATACTTTTGAAAACTCTGTGTATACTCCTCAAACTGGGATGATTAAACACATGTTCAATTATTACCATGTGATGGACAATAAATCCACCAAATGATCCGGTTTACAGAGCGGATCGTAAGAACAAAATTAAGAACACGAATTCGAGAATTGGATGTGTATTACTAGCTTGATTTAGCTTGAATTCTCCCCTTTCGGGTCCCCTCTATTTATACATGAGTTCTAAACAATTAAGGTAATGCATAACCGATGGAATCTATCCCGCCAAGGGCGCGATCCCCTTTTCCTGGCTCCGTAACGGCCAATCAGCTCCGTCTCCTTCTCCGGACTGACTCTGCCAGCTGCGCTTGGCCTGAGGTTAACTAGGCCCAGCTCCTTGAGCCGGCCCAGCTTGAGTATTTCACAGGTGCTTGACCCGAAGCTGTTTAAATGGTTCATTTGGGCCGTCCTCTGGATATCGGCCCATCATAAGCCCCCCAACTCCTCAGTCCTCAGATGGGCCAAGCGGAGGAGTGGGGAGTTTGCAAAGTCCACGTGGACGCTCCAGCGGGGATCCGGGCCGTTTCTTGGGTTCCGCACGACACTTGGGCACGATCTCCACAAATAAGTAATCATGGCCTGCCGATTCGCCTTCCTGTTGTCAGTTAAAAACCGCCGCTGGACGCCATCTCTTTCTTTCGCCTTCTTCACCACCGTTCGTCTGCAACTCCGCTGCTCACCCGACTCGTTCTTCTTCCTATCCAGGTCAGTTCCTTCTCCCGCCGCCATGATTGTCTCAGTTTCCGATTCGGCTACCCCATCGTCCAATTCTCGCCAAGCCGGCCAATCGGCCTCTGACCGTAACCCCGGCCACACTCCATCACCCCGGCCGTCGCCGTCGGTCGTGCCTGGCCACAAACAGCGTCGATTGAGGAAGCAATACCCTTCCTCAACTCCGGTAGATGAGGGCTCAAGGGTTGAATTGGACGAAAACATCATGGCGTTGTGCCATTGTCAAATTACTGACCGGGGGTTCGCCGATGCCACTAACATGGTTGGACCCTCCATCGAGGTCATGAGACCTACCAGTACTCAAACTGCTCTAGACGCACCGTCGGGGTTCTTCACGGTCCATCTGGCGTCTTTGAAGAAGGGGCTGCGCTTCCCACTCCACCCGTTGTTGAT